CAGTCTTCTAGACAGGCCTACTTCCTTCTGCCTCTCCTTGGCCTCCTAGAATTTAGTATTTCCCTTTCTTCTTCCCTAGTTCCTCCTTCAGAGGAACCCTAAAGAGTGTTTTCTGCCATGATAATAAAGAGAGAAGAGTGCTCAGTAAGTGCCTAATGAACAGAGTTCTTGCCCTACACCCTTCCCCCTAGACCTCTTCTTTGTGTTAGGAGGGATATGAGTTAACCAGAATCTTTGGGAGAGTCCTCCATAGTCGATACTACCAGCACATCCCAGCCAGTCCCCAAGCTTAACCAGATGGCTCAGAGGAATTTAAATATTTAGGAAAATAAAGAGAGATTAGCAAAGAAGAAAGCAAAACACCTGAGTCCGGAATAGAGGCTCTGGCAGCTATCACCTAGACAGCTAACTTCGGGAGGGATCCAGGGACAGGCGGAAGGCTGAAGGGTTGGTAGCGAGGAAAGCAGCAAAATGAACCAAAAACACTATGTGTGGTCCTCCCAACTGAGAAAGGGTGGGTGAGCCAGTTCCAGAAGATATAAGAGGATGAGACTTGAGTCATGTAGATGACCAGTCAAGGGTCTGACCAGACGGAGGCCAGAACAGAACCCAAGCATGCTGGCTGGCTCTGAGCCCCCTGAATCAGATGTGTTCCCACATCACCCTTCACACAGTGTTTAAACAGCAGAGAGAAAATGCAGACATCCTGAGGCCCAGCAAGATAGAGGCTGAGGATGGAAACCAGAGGGAGGTCTGTTTATCCTTGGGATCCAAAAGCCCTATAGCCTACATTTCTCTCCAGGCCCACATCTAATTTTAGACTTTCCCAGGACCATCTCCTTCCTATCCAATGGTGGGAGGGTATAAAGAACATCTCTTGAGACCCACAATCTTCCTACGCATGAGGTTCCTGAGAAAAGAGGTGAAGGTCTGAGAATTTTCTTCCTTCCTGATTCATGTTTCTCCAGGGCTCTGTCTCTCTCATCTGCCTCTCCAGGTTGGAGTTATCCCCAGACCCTAAGGAAAAGAACTCTTACCAATGACTAACACAATACCTTGTCAATTATTAAAAAGACTCTTCTCAGGGTCTTATCCAGCCTCAACCCCTCCCTCAGCTCAGAAGGAAGGAAATCAGATGCCATTCCTGTCTTCCTTCAGAAGCACGGTCACAGGAAAAGACCCTGGCCCTGAGGAAGTGTGTGTTCAAATTCCTGCTCCAATTCTTAATAGCTGTGTGGCCCTGGATAAGTCACAACCTCTCGGAGTTTCAATCTCATCTGTAAAATGGGCATCATCATGTATTTGCATTACCTACCTAGATCATGGAATGAGTATGAGGACTCAAGTAAGCCATTATTCTCCCTCCTCCCCTGGTTTCAAGCCTGCTTTTCCTGTGGTAGGCCTCCCTCTGGTCTCTGTCATGGGAGCTGATCTCCTAATTTTTTAGATGCTTTTCTCTCCCTCTCCCTTAGCCCCCAAAGACCTCATCACACGACTAGAAGGGAAAAAAGAGATTTAGGGCTCTTGGTTCCCTCCCTTCTCCTTTCTCTGCCCCTGAGAGTAAAGTTCCCATAGTCTCTGGGCCTCTCGTTAGCCTGGATGTTTGAATGAGAAGGGAGGAAAAGGAGTGAGGGAGATTCCATGCTTGCCTCCCCCCCAACACACACACACACACACACACACACACACACACAAGATTGTAGATTTAGAGCTGAAAGAAATCTCCATCATCTAGTCCAATCCCCTCATTTTACAAATGAGGAAACTGAGGCTGGGAGGTCATGACTTGCCCGAGGTTAACCAGATCGGAAGCAGCAGAGACAAGCCTCTGCCTCCAAATTCATTGATCTTTCCACCTCTCACTCAATTCCACCTCATCCTCAACATGTCCTGCGCTGTCATCGGGGCAGTCTTCGCTCCCCTCATTGCTAACTTCCTGGTCACCATTTTAGGAAGTCCTGCAACTGTGCTTCATATTACTTTTTTTCTCTTTTTTTGGTGGCAATTGGGGTTAAGTGACTTGCCCAGGGTCCTACAGCTAGTAAGTTTCTGAGGTCACATTTGAACTCAAGTCTTCCTGACTCCAGGGCCAGTGCCCTATCCACTGTGCCACCTATTTGCTCCTCTTTACATCACTCTTCACTGGACTCCAGGACTCCACCTCCTGACCTCAGGCATCGTCCCTGAAGGGTCACCCTTTCTCCCCACCACCCACTATTTTCTAGCAGCTCTCACGACGTCAGACACTTACTAGCTATGTGACCCTGGGCAAGTCACTTAACTGTCTGCCTCCGTTTCCTCATCAGTAAAATGAGCTGGAGAAGGAAATGGCAAACCACTCCAGTCTCTTTGCCAAGAAAACCCCAAGTGGGGTCATGGAGAGACACAACTGAAAATGACTGAACAACTCTATGCATTGTTTTCCTCTGTTCAATGTAAGCTTTTTAAGGGGTCTACATTGCTTATATTTGTATTCCCACAGGGATTCAGTAAACACTTAATAAATGCTATCATATTTCCACCAACTACTTAAGTGACTTACCCAAAGTAACAGCTAGTGATGGCAAAATCGAGATTTGAACATAGGTCCATTTGGTGTGGGATTGGAGGAGGGGTGGTGAGACAATAAAAGAAACCCCACTCCAAAAATATCTCCCCTACATAACTCTTTTGGATTAAGGTATTGATACTAAAAAATAAATGTATTGGGGCAGCGGGAGGGGGTAGGGAGAAGAGTTAACACATTAAATCTTATCTTTTCCTAACTGAAATTAAAGTCTGTTTATTCAGGCAGAGCCTGAGAGAAGACAGGTTTTAATACCATAAGCTAGGGCCAGAAAAGTCCAAGGCTGGGGTGCTGAAGGAAACAGGGTAGCCAGAGCTAAACCGAGAAATGAGGGGACCCTAAGCAGGGGTGGAGGGACAATGACATTCACCTACTTCACAGGTTTGTCCAGTTTTGGACAGCTACCAGCTGAGATCCCCTCCTCACCCCTGTGGGTGAGCCAGATGCCAGATCCTTCTCTGATGCCTCCTCCACCTCCTCCCTTGAACCCACCCCCCACCCCGCCTCATAAGGGCGGACCTTTCCTTCCTTCCCTCCTTCCATGGTGGGGGCCCGGGAGGCAGCTGTGCACAGCCCAGAGCCTGGGCCCTGGCAGGCAGGCACGCAGCAGTTTGTCCTCATTAAGGTACCACAAGCCAGATGGAGCCCAGGGCAGCACCCTGGGGCCTGGAGAACAGGACTCAAGGCTCCAATCAGCTGAGGCTTGTAAGTAATGATTTCCCTTCCCCAAGAACCCCCTGGAGAGAGGACTCCTACCCCAAACCAGAGCCCAGCTGAGATCCTGAAGAGGTCATTGTCACCAGCCCCCCCCCCCCACCTCTAACCCAGCAGCACAGGGCCCATCTGTGTCTGTCTGTGGAGCCCATAATCTGATGCTGGAAGTTAGTTTAAATTTGAAGTCACAAGAACAGAGTTCAAATCCCAGCTCTGCCATTTCACAAACTGATTCCCTTCTTTCAGTCTCATTTTCCTTATCTGTAAATTGAGGTTTGAACTCATTCCCTTTCCAGCTGTAGATTACATGAATCTCCACCCTTTCTGCTGCTTTGGCTGGGGAGGGGTACAGGATGAGGAGGCAGAGGGAGGTCACTGGGGGTAGCATTTAATGGAGAGGAGAGCAATCAGAGCAGAGGAGACAGGGAAGGGCTGGGCAGCCCAGGGCTGTGGCTGTGTTCTCAAAGTGGGTTCATCTGAACCCAGCAGGTTGCTTTCTCTCCCTTCTCCAGAGTAAAGTATAATGCACCCTAATGTGAGGTAAGATCCCCTGAAGGTTCTGTGGGACCTCAGTGGGGTGGAATTGAGGCAAGGGTAGAAACAGAACTGGATGGCCAAGTGAGAAAGGAAGAGAAAGGATGGGACATGGGTAAGGGGACTGGGTCAAGTCATGCCTGGGGTGGGTAACACCACAAGGTCCCCAGATCCTGGGCTGGACTCTGGCTCTCCCTGATACTAGCAGGGAATCCTTGGAGGCGAAGACAGGGGTACCTTGAGCTGTGTATGTGAAACAGAGCCTAGGCTGCAGAGAAGAGGGAGAACAGCCTGCCTGTCCATTAGCTCGGGGTACCTCTGGTTCTCTGATGGACTTGAGGGGGGAACAGGAAAAGGGAGGGGACCATTTTAGAGAGGAAATGAGGGGAGTATAGAAACTCTAGTTTTATTGACTTTGTTCCCAGCAACGCAGTTACTCTCCTATTGACAGCAGCTGTGAACTCTCGGTCCTGGGCAGAGCTGGGATGGCAAGGTCCCTGCTTTCCCAGGATGAGGTCAGCCTGGCTAGAGCATCTGAAGGAAGCACATGAGATGGGATCAGGGAGAAGTGGGAGGTACTGAGAGCCAGAAAGAGGCATCCATCTGGCCAGGCGCAACAGAACTAAGATTCAGGCTCCATCTCTTCCCTGCTGCCGTGCACCTGCCCCAAATGGGGATATCAGGCCACATCAGGAGGGTCCAACCTCTCCACTCCTGCTCTGAGGTCTCCTCCCAGGAACCACGTGGCGCTGCTCTTCCCTCTCCCCCTTCGGGCCCCCACCTCCTCAGGGACTGCCCTGTGTTGTTCCTGTTGCTAGTACATCGAGGAGCCGAGTTTATGGGCTGGAAGTCCGACCCGGAGGCTGCTCAATGATCTGTGACACATTGGGAGTGTGGGGAGCAAGGGGGGAGGGTGCCAGGGACAGCCCCAGTCCTCAAGCTCATCTTCCTGATTCAGGCCTTCCTTCTTATCAGTCCCTTCTTGACTTTAACAGTAATTACCACAGCTCCAAGCCCCTCTTGTGGTTCAGAAGTTATCCTGATGGGCAGTAAAGGCATAGAAAAAATGGTTAGGGGACAGGTGTCCTGGCTCAGGAACCCAGCCCTCCAACAGAATTAGAAACTAATGCCTCACACCTAATCTGTGGCCCCTTCCTCCTCCCCAGGAATTGTAGCCCTGGGCACCATGACGGCATCTAACACCACAAGAGAGAAGAACTCAGGCCCCCTGCTCCAGGTTGGGCTTTGGTTCTCCCTCATACTGGCAGGCCTCATTGTTGGTGCCAACCTCCTCCTGGCAGTGGGAATTGCCCGAGACCGCCGCCTCCGAAGCCCTCCTGCCGGCTGCTTCTTCCTAAGCCTGCTCATGGCCGGACTGCTCACAGGGCTGGCCCTACCCACACTGCCTGGGCTGTGGAGTCAGAGTAGGCACGGTTACTGGCCCTGCCTTCTCCTCCACCTTACCCCCAACTTCTCCTTCCTCTCTCTGCTCGCCAACCTCCTTCTGGTGCACAGTGAACGTTATTTGGCCGTTCTGAGGCCCCTCCGCCCTCCCCGAGGAACCCGCTGGGCCCTACTGGCAGCATGGACTGCCCCCTTGCTCTTTGTCAGCCTGCCTGCCTTAGGTTGGAATCACTGGGCATCTGATGCCAACTGTACATCCCAGGCCATCTTCCCTGCCCCTTACCTCTACCTCGAAGTTTATGGCCTTCTCTTGCCCTCTGTCGTGGCTGCTGCCCTCCTCTCTGCCCGGGTGCTGGTCACTGCCCGGCACCAGCTCCAGGATATCCGCCGCCTGGAGAGGGCAGTGTACCGTGATGCCCCTTCAGCACTGGCACGGGCCCTGGCCTGGCGCCAAGCGAGGGCACAGGCAGGTGCCACACTACTATTTGTGCTGTGCTGGGGCCCATATGTTGTTACACTCCTCCTCTCAGTGCTAGCATTTGAGCAACGACCCCCTCTGGGACCCGGCACCCTCCTAGTACTCAACTCTTTGGGCAGTACCAGTGCTGCTATTGTACCTGTAGCCATGGGGCTTGGGGACCGGAGATACACGGCCCCTTGGAGGCAAGCCGTGCTGAGTTTCTGGGGAGTACTGCAGAGAACAGCCACCCATCGCAGACCCCACCCTGAATCTGGAGCCCCATGCCAACATGGCAGCACGCACAGTGGAAACGACAGGTAGAAGTCGACGCAACTTCCAAGACCCAGCTGCAAGGCTCCCAGTGACACTTGTCTACTGCCCCCCTCCAAGGCACCATCTCCCCCACTGACTCTTGCCTCTGACCCAAGACCCCTCCTTCCTTCTCCCTGGAAGCCTCCTCAGAGTCCAAGGTATCACCCCTCCCATGTATGGAGCTGCCTGTCCACCCGTCTTTTTGTCTGCTGGACTGCCCTGAAGAAATGTTCAGGCTCTCCTGCCTTCCCCAGGGACTCAGGGCAAAGAACCTGGAGAAGCAGGCCAGTCTATGCGTGGCAACCCCTCCGAAGAGGATACGATGCTGCTCAAAGTGGGTGATCGCAGGAAAGAGGGACCTGGGAAACAGCCTCCTCAACCTAGCGCTGGGGACCACCAGGCTAGGGCCTACATCCCACCCCCCATACCTCCCACCGCCCTTCTCCCTGCCCCTCCCATCTTCCTTTAGACAAGGGCTCTGGGAATCATATTTTATTTACATTTTTTAAAACCTCTGTAATCATAACCCCTTTCCCTTCACTCCCGCACCCCCCCACATCTCAAGGTCCTAGGGGGCCTTGCGGGGAGGGGGAGAGAAGAAAAGAGCTTCTAATGATCTGCTCCTCATCTCCTACAACCCCCAAATGAATCAGAGCCCCAAGGAACACCACAACTGGAAGGTGAGAACTGCAGAGCTGAGCTTCCCTCAGGAAGGTCAACATGAGGGAGAGGGGGGCAGCGTCTATGTGGAGAAAGGTGGGAGGTGGCAGCATCTAGGAGATGAAGTCAGAGGGCGGCCTCCCTGGCAGCCCCCTGGGTGTGGGGGAGCCAGCCCCCCTCCATCTCCCCCTCTCCGTATAAAACGAGAGCCCAGAGCCAGGGACAGGAGTCTCCACTAACGGTCCGGTCTCTGGACACAGAACACTTTGGCTTTGTGGTCTCCAGACGTGGTCACCACCAGGGAGGCATCTCTGTAGAGAAAGAGCACAAAGCAGAAGTGAGTGTTGGGGGAGGGGTGGGGAAAGGGGGTGATGATTGCTGGCACAAGGGGGCTGGTACTGCACCCACACCTGAGTCCTCCGCAGGCCCTGAAGCATCGACGGCTTTGGTGACCTGGCTTCTCCCGGCTCTCCCCCTCCCTTTATCTCGGCCCCTGGCAAGCTTCAAGTCCCAGCCTCTATGAGAAGCCCTTCCTGGGCCCCCTTAATACTTGTGACATCCCTCTGTTCACTATCTCCAATGTTTCCTATATACAACTTGTTTGGACACACTTGTTGGTTTGTATGTTGTATTCCTCATTAGACTATGAGCTCCCTGAGGGCAGGGGTTGGTTTTTTGGGGTTTTTTTGATGGGGCGATTGGGGTTAAGTGACTTGCCCAGGGTCACATAGCTAGTGTCAAGTGTCTGAGGCCACATTTGAACTCAGGTCCTCCAGACTCCAGGTGCTTTATCCACTGCACCACCTAGGAGTTCTTTTTTTTACCTTTCTTTGTATCCCTAATGCTTAGAATAGTGCTGGGTATATAGTAGGGGCTTAATAAATGTCAACTGACTGACCTCTTCAGGACCCAGGGATCCTGGCTCCCCTTAGGGGTCAGGCATCCCAAGATCCTCATACTCTCAAGGCTCCCCTCCCCCACCACGTCCACTCACTTGCTGAGAGCAAAGTCGAGGATCTCAGCCGTGTGGCCTCGGTAGTCATTAAGCAAGCGTCCTGTTCGAGCGTCCCAGAGCCGCACGGCTCCATCGAGGCTACAGGTATACACCACAGCTGCCCCCTCCTCCCACAGCAGCTGCACGATGCCCGACTGCAGGAGGAAAGGCAGAGGCCATGAGACACAGCTCAGCCAGTGGGGCTATTACGCTTCTCCCCATAGGAAGAGGAGGGGAGAGAAGAGGGAGATGCTCAAGGAAGCTCCAGCGGGCCTTCTCCCCCCCACCACTGGAGCTGCCTTACCTGGTGCTGGCACCGGTGTCTCAGGCTCTGGGTAGACAGGTCATAAATGGCCAAGGTCCCATCAAGGTAGCCAATGGCAGCCAGTGGCATCCTGGGCAGAGGGGCAGCATCAGGCAGAAGTGCAGTCACCTACTTGCCCACCCTGCGGCCCTCTCCTCTCCACTGTGCTACCAACCCATCTCCCAGCAACTCCTCCACTTTAGTCTGAGCTGCTACAGTCCCGTACCCACTCTCACTCACACATTGCAAAAGCCCAAGGATTCCACTGAATTGGATTCGCTTTCTTCATCCTCCCCAGGGTTAGGCTGGGGACCCACAGAGTCTGGTCTGAAAACACCTACCACCTAGGGAAAAGAGAAGGCGCCAGAGCCAAAGTCACACACAGAAAATCTTGGCCATTTCCTTCCCAGGAGCTGGCCTCAGTTTCTTCATCTGTAAAATAGAAGACCTCTATGGCTCCTTCCAGCTCTAACATTTGACAATCCTATGCTCCAACATGGGGAGAAAGGCCTGGGGAAAGGAAGCCTTGGTGACAGGGTAGCTAGGGCAGCCCTGGAGCCAGGCTTATAAGCTCTAGGTTCCATAGAAAGGAGTTCTCGTCACTCACCTTGCCAGTGGCTGCATTGACCAGCTTGGCCTGACAGTCCACAGAACCAGTGAGAACGAGGCTCCCATCGAGGTTGGTGGCCACACATGTCAGTGGGCCCTGGTGACCTTCGGTTCCTGAAGCGGAGAGAAAGGGATGAAGGATAAGGCAGGGCCTGCCTCCCCCTATCCCTCCACACCCCCTTTCCTCAGACTTGGCAGCTTTCTCCATCTGAACCCTCCAGTCCCACCAAAAGCACTTGTGGTTGCTGTACCTTTGAGTACGTGGATGGGGCTTCCCTGCTTCAGGTCCCAGATCCGGACAGTGCCATCTTCATAACCAACCACGGCTTTCCTCCCTGGTGCCCCAAAGACAGAGCCAACAGAGAGGGAGGAAACAGGCTCTCAGACACTCAAGATACTCCTGGTATCTCAAATTAAGAACAATAGGGCGCAGGGCCAGATGCTGCCCCAGGAGGAAGCAGCAAGGTAGGAGGACTGTGTCCCTGGAGAAGGGAAGCTAAGGGCCACAAAACCCAGAGAGGATTGTTGGGAGCTTCTTGTCCTGAAAAGAGTTTGTGGACAACAAGCATGATAATGACGATGATCATAGCTGACGTTCACGTTGTATTCTGCCATTTATGGAGCACTTTATACATGCATGAACTCATCAAATCCTTGCAAAAACTCCATGAAGTAGGCAATACAGGTATTCTTATATCCATTATTTTACAAATGAGTAAACTGAGGCAAAAAGAAGTTGAATGACTTGCCCAATGTCACAAAGCTAGTAAATGAGTAAGCTAATGAGTGACCAAACTGGGACTCATGCCAGAGTCTTCTGACAACAAAATCACAGTATCCAAGAACTAGAAGGTGCCTCAAAGGCCATCTCCTTCAACCCACACCCAGAAGTAGACCACTGTCTGGGACCAACACCCCAGACAAATGGTCAAGCAGCTTTCGCCTCAGGAGCCTAACAAGGGGGAACCCGTTACATCTCAAATTAATCTCATTCTCTGACCCAGGGGTGGGGAACCTTCAGCCTTGAAGCCACATGTGGCCCTCTAGGTTCTCAAGTGCGGCCCTTTGACTGAATCCAGTTTGTTCCATCAAAGGGTCACACTTGAGGACCTCGGACCGCAGGTTTCCCACCCCTACTCTAACTGTTCAGAAAGCTTTTTCCTCACCCTAAGTCTAAACCCATCTCTCTCTAACTTCTACCCACTGCTCTGTCTTCCGAGGCTAAGAAGAATGGGTCGAATCTGTTGCACGTGACAACTCTTTAAATACACTGACGCCTGGGATCTTTGACGTGGAAAGGGTGCCAGGGAAGGGGCTCTCACCATCAGGGAGGACTCGGCCACAGGTGGCCGGACAACTGGGTCCCTGGAAGGTCTTGCAGTCGCCACTAGGGACCTTCCACATCCAGGTGTTACCATCAGCTGTGCCTGCCAGGAGGACGGGTGCCCGAGGATGCCACTCCATCCACTGGGTGGGCCAGAAAAAGAGAGAGAGCAGTTAGCCAAGAGAGCCCCATGCCTCCCACTTCACTGGAGTTCAGGGAGTTCCATTAATCCCTCCAGACTTCCCTTATTTACTGCTTCAAAGACATTATATATGAATGGGACTGTCAGGGCAACAGCGACAGAATGAGATGGTTCTTTAGTATCTTTGGGGCTGGGAGATTAGGCCAGAGAGCAGACTCAAAGCCACTCCAACTCCCAGCCCAGTGCTCCCCAAGTGGAGCAACACAGTCCACCCACATCCCACGAGTTCTCACCTCCAGGTCCCCCACTTCAAAGGACCAAACCTCCTCCTTGGTGTCCACCTGCCACACTTTGAGTAGGCCACTCATGTCCCCAGTGGCCACCAGGGCAGAGTCATGGCTGAAACCCGCACAGGTTACAGAGTCTTTATGGCCTAAGAGGTGACAGTAGGTAGAGAAGGGATATTGGGGAAATAGCAGCATGCTGGTAAACTGCTCCCACGAGGCAACCAATGGAGATGTGGACTCAGACACCCTGCCTCCTGGGGTTGGCACCACCAGGTGACAGGCAGAGGAACTGAGGAAAGGGGCCAGTGGAAAGCTGCATCTATAATCCCTGGCCCACCCATTTCCTAAGTCCAAATTTACAAGTTCCCTCTTCCGGTCCCCTTGATTAAACAGAATCCAACCCAGTTTGGCTTCTAGGGTTTCCCTTACAAGCCTCCCCGTTCTCTTTTGTGTGCATTCTTCCCTGTCCCAGCCCCATTTCCCCCAGCCCCCCAGCTTCCTCACCAGGACACTCCAGGAGCAGCTCCCCGTCACTGAGCCGCCATACAAAGGCTTTATCGTCCTCGCCCCCTGTCACCGCCAGAGTATTGGTCTTGGGGTCCAGGCTCACACAAAACACAGAGGCTGCTCCAAAAGAGACAGGCAGGCCAGGGTTGTATGGGGGAGTTCAGGACATCCCCCTACAGCAGAGACCCTCCCCTTCTGTTCTCTCCTACCAAACCAAAGAGGTCCAGGAGGGACAGCTGATCAGGAAGAGGTCCCCACTCCCCACCACACCACCCAACTCCCAGGACAAGTTCAAGACCACACCAAGGAGGGTGGCTGGGCAGTAGGGTCCCCCTGCCTCGGGTGTTACCTGAGTGATGGGCAAAAGTGACCTCGCTGTCGTCGGGGCTCTCCATGCCGCCATCCACACCCTCGTCTACCTCGTCCCCCCAAGCCTCATCAGCCCCCTCCCCCTCTAGCTCCTCTTCTTCCTCAAAGTCCACTCCGTCCATCTCCTGCGCCAGGTCATCTGTTTTGGGGACAGGAAACAGGCGTTACAATAATCGACACCCCTCCTTCCCCGGGGAAGATTAGGGGGTTCAGGGGATGGGAAGAGCCAGGGGGAGAGCTGGTTGGGTTAGGGGAGAAACAGGAATTTAATGGGGATGAAGGCAGGAAGCATTAAAGAGGGGCTAAAAAGGTGGTGAAAAATAGAAGAATGTTTAAGGGGTACAGGAAAGGGGAGCTAAAGTTCAAAGATCATCAGATGAAAGGTTAAAGGTCACCACCTCTGGGAGGTGGAAGTGGGATAAAGTAAAGGGAGTTAAAGGCTGGAAAACAAGGGGGCAAATGTCCCGGGGTAGGGGGCACAGGTCACCACAGCTGGCCACGAAGGAGTGATTGAGGAGCCAGGGTGAGGTCAAGGGTCAAGGGTCAGAGCCCTGTCAGCTCCGCGGGGGGGGAGGGGGCAGCTCTAACCGGGGTCTGGCGGGCCGGGACCCAGCTCCACCACCTCGATGATCTCCTCGTCCCCATGGAAGTGCAGGGCCTCCGGGGAGGCCGCCCCGTCCTCGGGCCCGGGATCAGGATCGGGCTCCATGAGACTCAGCGAAGCCGGTCCACCACCCGCGGCCCAGCCGCCTCCAGAGCCACGGCCGCGCGACGCCACCTACCACGGTCCGGCCGAGATGGGGCAGGGGGCGGTGCTTCAACGCGGAGCGACGCCGACTTAGCCAACTGGGAAGGAGCCCGGCCGGCGGAGCAGCCAATCAAAGGGGGGGGTTGGCCGACGGCGCGGGGGTGAAAGGGCGGGCTGGAAGGGTTCGCGAACCCGCTCCGCCCCCGCACGCCAACAACCTCGCCTGCGTACCGCTAGAGGCTTGTGGGAAGGGTAGTTCTCCCGAGGTTGCCGCATGGGATTCTGGGAAGTGTAGTCTTCGTCCCTTTGGCTGGGCCGAGCAGAGGGCGAGGATCCGCAGCCTCCGAGCCCCCGGCGCCCTTGAACCTAAACTACAACTCCCAGCAGACGACGAGGCGGGGCTTGAGGACCGAGAATATGGCGGCGACGGTTGTAGCTGCGTTGAAGGGCCCGGGGCTGAGGGGTGCCGCGGGGCGCGGGGGTAAGAGGCGGGGCCCTGGGGCCAGGGACCCGGACTTTCTTCTTCTCCACCCTCGGATCCGAGGGCATCGGGTTCCCTTCCCTCCTCTCCCCTCTCCTCCTCGCAGGATCATGGGGTCTGGGGCAGGCGCTTGTGCAGGGGTCATTGTAGGCATTCCCCTGTCTCCGAGCGCGCCGCCCCGCCCCCCCAGTGGCTGTCAGCCTGTGTGACACCCCTCCCTTCACTCCCTTTCCTGGTAGCGCTTCTTCCTGAGGCCCTTTGCTTTTGTTTCTTTGGGCCAGGCTTGGCTTCTGATGCCACCTGCCTATGGCATGACCTTGGCCAAGTCACTTCCCCCTCCCCCCCAGCTTGGGTCCCGCCTCCGGGGCCCGCTGGGGTCTCTCCAGTTGACCCGGCTCAGGTGGTCACTCCCCTCCTCCATCCGCAGGGTTTCTCCAGGGAGCCGCGGCTCGCAGGGCCCCGCTGCGGCACTACGCTGGCCCGCTGCCGTCCAAGCCCGAGCCCGGGCCCTGGCCCCCGGGGCTGGAGTACATCCCCAAGAAGAAGGCCAAGAACCCCATGAAGCCGGTGGGGCTGGCGTGGTGAGTCCCGGCCTTGCGGCGGGTGCGCCCAGAAGGAGCCCTGGCGCCACTTGGCTCAGACTCGGGGACAAGGGGACGGCCTATTGGGTACGAGTGGCTCAGGCCACTGACTTGGACAGGGCCTGGCGGGTGGATCCTTAATAAGGGCTCCACTTAGAAAGCACTTGACACGCGTCTTATTTTTCTTATAATTGTATTTTTCCGATCAACAAAAATCTGCCTTAACCTCCGTCTCATATTCCCTTTGCCTTGAGAAAGACAAACACCCCAATTAGTCAAGCAAAGGCCACGCATTGGCCGTCTGTCCGCACATGTCTGCATCCCTGCTCCCTGCCCATCCCCCTCCTGTGCACGTGCCACGAGTCAGAGCCCATCTCCCTCTGAGCCCAGCCCCCTCCGGTGCACATGCCACGAGTCAGGGCCCATCCCCCTCCGGTGCATGGGCCGAGGGTCCCAGTACAGGCTGGTCACCGGCCGATCCTCCCGAGTCTGCGGTGAAGGGGCACCACTGTTCCTAATGTGGAGCCATAGTGCTTGGGCTTCGGCCCCTTCTCTTAATCAGCGGCACGGGAAGACAAGCCCCTCTCCCCATCCCCTCAGGAATGGTGGGGGCAGGAGGGAGGAAGTTCGGGCCCAGCCGAACCCGCATCCCTTCCACTCCAGGGCCATCGGCTTTCCTTGCGGGATCCTCCTCTTCCTGCTCACCAAGCGAGAAGTGGACAAGAATCGCCTGCAGCAGATGAAGGCCCTGCAGAACATGCGGACGGCCAACAGCGGCCAGTACGAGAGGCAGAGGTTCAAGGCCTCGGCCCCAGAGACCCTCACTCCGCCGGCCGGGGCTGGGGTGCAGTCCTGAGGCCGGAGCCCCTCACCCCACCGTGTATGGACTACGGACTGATGGACGTGTGGTTCTCTCGGGCTCCACCAGGGGGCATCAGGTACCCAGGTTCCCCGGGCCAGGCCATGCCCTCCCCGAGGTGTGAGTCAGGCCAATAAAGTCATTATTTCCCAGAAAATGAGCCCAGAGCTTCGTGCCCGGGAAGGGCGCACATGCCTAGCTGCCGGCCCCAAACCACCCAGCTGGGGACAGTGGAGATACCTGAGCCGCTGCTGCAACAAAGGCCTTCCAGACTTGCAGGCTGGCCAGTGAGCCCTTGGAAAGGGAGATTATTAGAGCATAGGATTGAGAGTGGAAAAGAGCTTTAATTTCACAGGTGGGGAAACTGAGGCACGGGTCTGGCTCAAAGTTGCCGGCCCTCTGAACAAATAAGGCTTTTAAGTATTTCCCAGCAGTTTAACATCCCTCATAACGGAAGCATGAGGTGTCAGAATACCCGGGTTTGGGACCTGACTAGTCCCTCACTAGCTGCGTAACCTTGAACAAGTCACATCTCTCTGAACCATTTCCCTGTTTATAAAAGGACCAGGTTAGAGTAAGTGACCGGCACCTCCCCAATTCCCCAGGCCCCTTCCAAGTCTACTCTTTCAGCCACCCAGTCTCTCATCTTTGTCCTTTGGCCTGTCCCAGAGCGGCCAAGGCCATGTGTTGGATAGGAGGAAAAAAAGGAGAATTTAAGGATTCAAGAAGCTTTTATTAACAACCTGCTACAGGGGCAGCTAGGTGGCACAGTGGATAGAACACCGGCCCTGGAGTCAGGAAGACCTGAGTTCAAATCTGCCCTCAGACACACTACTTCCTAGCTGTGTGACTGGGCAAGTCAACCCCAATTGCCTCCCTAAAAAAGAAAAAAAAAAAAGAACTGCTACATATACAAGGGACTGTTTGAGGTACTGAGGATAAAAGACACAAAATCATCCCCTCTCTGTGTGGGGGTTAGGAGTGCTGATGGGGGAGCCAGTTTGCCTGGAATGGAGAATGCACAACAGGAATCAGGACTGGACTATATATTGGTACAGAAAATGGTGCTAGTTGGCATCATCTCTGCAAGGAGCTCAGAGTGACCTGCCCAGGGTCACACAGCCAGGGTGTCCTGGGCAGTCCATGTACACTAAGCTACCCATTTTCCTGCATGAATAGAGTAAGACTGGAAAGGTAACCAGAAACCAGACTCTTGGGGGCTTTAAATGACAGGGTAAGGATTTTGTCATTTATCCTGAAGGCAATAGAGAGCAGGGCCTGGAGTCAAGAAGACATCTTCCCAAGTTCAAATCTGGCCTCAAGACATTAGTTGTGTGACCCTGGATAAGTCTTAACTTTAACTCTGTTCACCTCAATTTCCTAATCTGTAAAATGAGCTGGAGAAGAAAATGGCAAACCACTCCAGTGCCTTTATCAAGAAAACCCCAGATGGGGTCATGAATGTCAGACATGACTGAAAAATGACTGAACAACAGGGAGTCATTTAGGGTTCTGAGCAAAGGGGGTGCCATGGTCAGATGTGTGTTTTGGGATCATCAGATAGCAGCATTGCAGAAGGATTGGAGGGGGACAGGACTTCAGGCAGAAACCAGCTAGGAGGCTTGTAACCTGGGTGAGAGCCACAAGAAGAATAAGGCAGCTAGCCCCCCTCCCCTCCAACCCTTCAGAAAGAACCAGAAACAGACACTGAGTTTCTAACATAGAATTTTATTGTATTTCCTGTTACAACTCGTGTGGTGCTCAAAACTCCAGAAAGATCATATACAGAAGCCCTTTTCTGACCCTTGTGCCGGGCCTAAGTCAAGAACACTGTCCCTGAAGTCCCTACCTCCCTCATAAGGCACTTGGTGTTAAAAGCTTAGCCCCTAGGAGGAGGGAAGGGAGGTGCTGTTGGGGGATTCAACTTCAACCATCCTGAGGGAGAGGAGGGGCGGGGCATATCTTCCACCCCCAGCAGCTACCCCAGAACTAAAGGATGGTATGAAGCAACAGCCAGGTTCTAGTGGTAGCTCTACCACTCCGTGAGGTCTAGGGCAAACATTTTACCTCTGAGCCTCAGATCTTTCATGTGTATAATAGAGGGCTTACCCTAGAATAGCTGAAGGTGATTCTTTCTGGTTTAAAATTCCATAGAAGTCTAAGGCTGGGATGTTCTGAACAGGTTGAGCAACAACAGGGCTCGGAGTGAACCGGAGAGCATCCTTCAACCCCAGCTCTGTCTGTGTCCCTGCCAGCTCCATGTTTTGCCTACGTTTGGGTCACTGGCCCCACCTCTTCAGGAGCCCCATGCGAGATACCAAAAGTGGGGGGCGGGGGCACCCGTCATGTTATCAACCCATTCCAACTCATACTACACATCCCTTCGCTGCAAGTCTAGGATGCCAGAGATGAAGGTCAAAGAAGAGACTACCCCCACTCCCATTGGCCAAACACCCTTCTGAAGTAATTCCAGGGACGGGGGTGATGGGAAGGAGCCAGATGGAGATGGGCAGAGACTGAGGTTCACCCTCTGGCCTTAGGCAGAGGTCAGGGTTTATGGTAGGTAGGCCAGGGCTGGGCACTATTATAGATGGTTCCCAATTCCCACTAAACAATATATACACATCAGTGGATTGTGTCTGTACAAAGGGTAAAGGGGAACAACTATTTGGGTGGTGGGGGCGAGGGGAAAACTGAGAAGACAGGATTTTGGGAGCCTAGTGCAAGAGAGAAAGTAGACACTGATCCCATTCTCCAGTCCTATAGGGGAAAATGCCAGGGAGGAAGGGCATTGTAGATAGCAGCTCAGTATGGAATCCCCTGAAGAGAATGGATTGAAATCATCCCTGCACCTTGTTTCCCTTTAGTTACTGAGACAGAGTGATCTCATCACACACCCCTGACAGGGCAGTATTGACAAAAAGGAGAAGAAACCTCGGAATCAGTCTTGGACGAGTCAGAAGAGATGAGTCACTTACTGGCTTCTCCAATCCAGCATGTCCCTCCCTACAGACAAGCCCCAGACAGGACTGCCCCCACCAGATCTCACAAGCAACAAGTGAAACCTTTCCTGGGGTAGTTACTGAGAGAAAGGCCACGGCAATGACTGGCCAACCCAGAAAGAGAAAGCAAAGAAGAAGCATGGGCAAGAAGAGAGGCCCCCCCCCTTAATTGTGATCCCCTAGAAGCTGCAGCACAAAAGTGAAGATGTAGACGATGTCCGTGTAGATTTGCAGGGCACCTGTGATATATTCCTCTGGGCTGATGGTATGCTTCCTGTTCCCCAAGACCAGTTGTGTGTCATATGCCAGAAACTGCAGAGAGGAGAGCAATAATGAGGACCCCTTGTCCCTTCCCATGACCCCCACCCCACAAGCATGGGAAGCCTCTCTTCCCCCAGTCACCAAAGTGTCTCCTATGTGCCAGGCACTGGAGATAAAAACAGAACAGCATTTTCCTGGAAAGAGCTTTACATTCTGTTGAGAGAAATAACACAAATATAGGAGTGGACAGAAAATGTCTTCAAAGTAAATAACAAAGTAATTTAGGCCTGGAGGATGAGGAAAGGCTGCAGAGAGGGGGTGTGTCTGAACCAAGCCTTGGAAGGAAGGTAAGGCTGAGACAAAGAGGAAATGTGTTCTTGGAGTTGGGGATAGCCTCGGCCAGGGCACGGTGATGGGACAGATGTGCTGTGCAAGAAGCAATAAAGCAAGACCCTTTGTCTGGGCCCCGAGGAGGAAGAAGTGGAGGGCCACTCACCAGAGTAAAAGCGATAGCCCCGAGGGCAGCATACAGCATGTGGAGCCAGTAGACCTGTAGAAGCAAAGGGTATGAGTTACGGGCCTGGTGGTCTGGTGGGAGGTGTTGATGAGGAGAGGCCAGCCCCCCCACCAAATACCAAATCATGTCCCCTCTCTAGATGATAGGGCCACAAACCTAAAGGGAAAGGGCCTTACTTCTCCGTAAAAGAGATGGATCTTTCTCCAGTCATTCCAAACCCAGTCTGTCTCATTATCTTACCACCTCTCCTGAGGTGCCCCTCTTCCCATAGGTCCTGTGCCCTCAGGTAGCCTTCCAGCTTAGGGTCCTCCAACCCAAGTCTGACCCCCAAGGCTTTGACCTTCCTTCCCAGTGCCACCACAATCCAACACCTGGTCTCAGCTAACTCAGCTAATCCAAATTATTTCCCACTACAGCATTACTGATAAGTTTAGTTTCCCTTTAGTATTTTTAAACCAAGATTGTCTTAAATCCAAAGGAATAAACCTCTAATAATATCTTTTAAGAAACTATGGGGGCAGCTAGGTAGTACAATGGATAGAGCACAAGCCCTGGAGTTAGGAGGACAAGAGTTCAAATTCAGCTTCAAACACTTCACACTTACTAGCTGTGTGACCTTGGGCAAGTCACTTAATCTAAGGGGGGGGGGGTGCTGTGCCAGGGAAGGAGACCAAAAAAAAAAAGAAAGACTGTGGTAGGCCAATGAAGAAGGTTTGGGTTGGAGGGATGCCTTCCTAAAACTTCCAGATAAAAAAAATGAATTATTTATTATTAACATTTTTTTAAAAAATGAGTTCTGAATTCTCTCCCTCCAATTCCTCCCCCACCCATTAAGAAGGCAAGCAATTTATCAATTATACAAACTTCCTGATTATTTTTAACATCTGAAATTCATAACAAACAGGCAGGGGCTTATTATGCTCCACCAGTGCCTAAGGCCTGTTCTGGGGCCCAGGAATCCTTAGCTCTTGGCAAGGGAGGATAATCATACTCACGTATTTGAAAGCTAGCACAATAGCAGTGACAATCCCAGTCACTGTTAACACAATCCCAAGCACACAGAAGAGCCCTGCACAGGATGTGAAGTCCACCTGCCAAAGGAAAGGGAAAGAAGGAGTCTGTTAAATGACCACCCTGGCCACGAATTCACATGAATACTACCTCAGCCCTCCGATCAGTATGTCACAGAGGAGCCAGGAAGAAAAGCCGAGCGGTTGGGTGTTGGGGGAGAAAAGGGGGGAAATCTTATGACTGTAGAGAAATGGTATCCCCTTGTATCCCCAGTCCTTAACTGTCTCCGACCTCTGGGGTTTAGGGGGATGGAGTCAATGTGCTTAAGGAAAGCCCGAGGGATGAGAGTGCAGTGCCCTCACCTTG